GATATCCGTAATTGTCATTAAAGGGTACTGACTGAAACTAGGTTACATTCGATATCCGTAATTGTCATTAAAGGGTACTGACTGAAACGAGGTTACATTCCGACATTTACGGATATCAGTACACTTAACTTACACTGATTTAACTTTGTAGTTTATTCGTTGATTCATTAAAAGTAAAATTAATTATTCTATGTGTTTAAGGTCGATAATCGACCATTCGAATAAGCAGAAGAAGTTTGTTGGTGATGGAATCCAAGTTAACCATGGAAGAAGCCCTATATTTCGTATCTAAAGTTCTTGACATCCCAGAAGCTGAGAAAAAATTGGCAGCAGATCGCCATGTTTTCCTAGATCATCTGGTCCAGACCATCCACCAAGTAATTCCTTATCAAAATATAACTTTACTCTCACTGAAACCGGAACATCGTCACATACCAACATGGACTGAAATTAAAGAAGCCATGATGATTAAACAAGGAGGAACGTGTTACATTCTCAATGTCTTTGTGAAATATTTGCTTCAAGCTTTGGGTTTTGACGTATATCATGCTGCATCGGAATTCGGTTTCCCAAACAATCATATTACTACAATTGTTCGAAACTTATCGTCAGATGGCGCTAAACATCTGGTGGATTTCAACGGCTTCCCATCGTTCAAAGCTATCCCATTAGATTTCAAAGAAGAATCACCGGTTTATAGCATGTCATTTCTCACATTTAAATTTGTTCGCGAAGGAAATTTAATAATACGAGTTCACAAAACTTTAGAACCTCATTGCCCTAAGAATCTGAGCGAATCAGAAGGTTGGGCTCACTATTTTACTATAGATCCTGAACCTCGAGATCTTTCTTACTTTGAAGAAGACATGACTAAAGTGTACACCGTGCCAGGAGTCAACTCTCAAATCTTAGAAAATTTAATGTTTGTTAGTTTTCCTGGACTCCAACTTTGCGGTATAAAAAATAAGTTTGAGCTCTCAGAAGGAGACAACCATAAAATTAACTACAAACAAATTTCATCTAAGTCCGAAATGGTCCAGTCAATTATTAACAAACATTCACAATTTCCTGAAGATAAGATCGTCTCAGCAATTGACAGGATAAATTTGTTTACTATTTAAGATTACCAACGTAATGTGTTTCTTCAACTTTTTGTTAATCCCTGAATGAAACAAAAGGGTTTAACTGTTTTGTTATATTGAATGTTTAGACCACGAGTTGAAAATCAACTCGTGCATTTGTAGCCTTATATCCAAAAGTAGTTGTATTTACCATGATATAAAGTTGTAAACTATGCAAACTGTACTATTCTATGTATATTTTCATTAAACTTAATGTTTTTGCCAAAAAACATTTTCTTGTCGCATTTACTACATTCCTATAAACCTCACTTGTAATAGACGCCTCTCTGTGACTTTTGAAGGCTGGGTGATACAAAACACTTATATAAATTTATTTTTTATTGGACAGATTGCCTTATTATCAGCACTCTTTAATAAGAAGTGGTATGGATTTCATCAAGTTTCCTTCTTTCACTTGCCTCTCTATACATAATGAATCAGTAATATTCTTTCAATGTTTTTTAAATTTTCCTTTGCACTATAGATCTTGCCCTGCTATCTGTGATCGATATTTAAACACACCTTGTGTTTATTTGTACGTTTAAGAATCAAAATATTTAATAACTTGTTTAAAACACAAGAAAATATTAAACGCATACTACACAATAAGCCTAAAACTTAAAAAATGTCTTTTTTTTTTCAAAGACCTTTAAAAATTTCAACAAGTATATGAAACGATACCAAATTGCTAGCTGTCTATCTATCTTCATGGTGCCTCCTGGTCAGTTTTATCTGGATAAATGCGTTTGGTCACAATCTTCGTTACTTATTTGTTGTTTATTAAAACCAAAACGTTAGACAAACGCTAACTGCTAAATTTCCTGAGCTCTGTAAATGTAAGATTATGGAAAACGACTTCAACTTTGAGTGTTCAAACTTGCCTTTAACTAGGGTTGTTTTAGTCTTATTGGTCAACGCTAAACCTGACCCTCCTTCGTTCGAAATGAGGACCGAATCCCGATAAAAAAAGAATAATTTTTACTCATAGAGGAAACTTTTTTAACAGTCTAAAACTAATGAAGATTTTGAAAATGTTTCCTTAAATGAAAAAAAAAAAATTGTATTGTAGTACTATTTAAAAAATAAAATCTGAAATACACGTTAAAATAACCTTTTCGTAATTTCTCAATTCACTTGTGATATTTTGCCCTCGGGGCATGATAAAATAGGTGTCTTAGTGTAAGGGTTAATATACGTATTATACACAACGTTGGAAATGATAAATTCTAATAAAATAAAAATACTCTCCTTGTAAGTAGTGTGATAAATGAATATTATGTTTGTATCTTTCCTAAGTATGCGATACACAATAAACAGGATTATAATTTTATAAGACAAACTAAACTGAATAATACATTCATATATTCAACTCACAGTAAAATAAGGAAACTATAAATGTCTTACGAAATACGGGAAGACTGCTGACAGCTTTGGGACTTGTAGCTCAAAGACTCCATTAAAATGCTCTCTGTGCTTTAGAGTTTTTAAACTATATTTATTAAGCAGGAACTTTTGACCCCAGACATTTTAACTGCCGTAAACATTTTATTATTTTCAACCATTAAACACGTGATCACACTGGATAACGTGATCTGTTCTTTACGAACATCTACCTAGTTATGGGAATGTATTTTTTTCGTTTGTTTATATCGTTGAGATATCCATGTAAATCTCCACAAGGACTCTTTGCGCTAGTCTGACCCTAGTTGTTAAATGATAGACTGGAAGGAACTACTCTAATAAATTAGAAGGATTTGACTGAATTTTAAGGCTAAAAAAAAAATCAGAACATTTTGAAGATTTCACCAGTCACGTTGCTTTTAGGTCATAACGGTTGAATTGTTAAGTCCTTCTCAGCCGTACATTACAGTGCATATAAACACATTTCAACTCTTTAAATGTACACCACACATACAATCATAGACGTTGATATGTCAGGAACGTTACGGGGTGATGTCTTTAACTTTATCCATAAATTACCAATAGACTAAAACACAGACATATATATATTAGTGACATGAGGGGGGGGGGTGAGATTCGAACGCCAATCACTCTATGTCCTTACCCGAGGTAAACTAAGGGTGCCTTGTAAGTTTGGTAAAAAATTACTAGAACAGTAACTCCGGAGGAGTGAAACAGGGGATCCGATCCGAACATTGATCCTCCATATCTCATTATACTTTCGAGAATACCTTAAAGAGCTTGGCAAATTTGGTCATACATTCGTCAAAAAATATGGACGTGATAAGTGCACACGAAAACGACGCTTCTGCTTCATAAATATACTAGCTGACGTACCCATTCAGCTCGTGGGAAAGACATAGTGCCTCTCCGGAGAGTGACATAGGGAGATCATATCCCATCACCATGTCCATGTTATTCCATGTAGAGCCATAGGGATACATGCTAAATGTGGTGATAATCGGTTCACCAGTTATAAGCAGACACCCACACAGGCTTTTGTCAAATAATGATTTAGATATATATATAGATACCTAACCCCAATGACAGAGGTTCCAACAGAATTCTGATGATTTACTAGATTAGATAAGCTATGTACCAAATGTCAGAGTATTTAGCTTCATTTTATTAAGTTAGGACATTATCAATATATTCGTAGAAACAAAACACACACACACACTCATGTAGATGTAACAGAAATTTTTGTGAAAACTTTATCCAAAATCAATATTTGCCGAACGTGGTGACCTACTGCTGGCTCAGTTGTGATCTATAAAGCTTTTAAAACAAAATATAAGTTATACACCCGCGTTTGGCACAGCGCAGATAGCCCATTGTGTAGCTTTGCACTTAAAAGGCAGAAAGAAAGAAAGAAATCAAACACGAACATTTTCGAACATAACGTTGTTGTTTTTTCTGTTTTGTGAGATCATTAGACTTAATTGTAATTGATTTCATCGTGTTAATTAGAATGACTCGTCTAGTAATTACCAAGATTACTTGCATCTACATACATAATGAATAGTGATCACCTAATGTGGTGTTTCTTGATTTCTTACAAGGCTACTATGTTGGTGAGAGACTTCCGGAACGTACTAACTGATAATGAATGAACATCATATGTAAAACCTAATTCAAAAATGTCAAACTAAGAGAATCAAATAAACACCAAACTTAAGTTTTAGCTCTATTTTGAACTTCTGGAAGAAAAACAGCACGCTGATGACTTCTCGAACTTATTTGAAAGAGACAGGGATAGCTTTGTATTTCTTCCTTTCTACACATCAAATTGTAAGCAGGATTGCATATTTGTTAATTACTAAACTGAGTAGCACATTCATATATTCAATTCACAGAAAAATAAGGAAAAGCATAGAGACTGCTAACAACTTTTGGACTTGCAGCTGAAAGACTTCACTTAAACTAGACTTTGTGCTGTAGTTTTTAAACTATTTAACAAGCAGGAACTTTTAAATTAGGAGAACGTAACTGACGTAAACAGTCTTTTTTTCTACTGATAAATTATACACACGCTCACACTGTATAACGTGATCTGTTCTGTGTGGTAATCAGGCCACTTATCAGTCACCGAGAGGAAAAAATATGTATTGGGCATGTGTTGAGAAGGCATGGCCTGAAGAAGGAAGTGATCGAGGGAAGATCCATTGGGAGAAAAGCAAGAGGGAAGATAGAGCAGCTGAAGACAGAGCTTTTTGACGAATTGTGCATCAGGCCTGTCTAAGAACAAAACACTTGATGATGAGAAATATAAACGTCCTTTTCTTTATCTATAATTGTATGTATGGTGTACTTGTTAGAACTGAAGTGTATGTGCTGTGTAGTGTACGTATGAGAAAGACTTAACAATTAAACCAATATAAGTTAAACACAATATATTTGGTACAGTCTTCAAAATATTTTTTTTCAACATTGAGATACGATCAAATCTTTCAACTTGATCAAAGTAGTACATGACCTCCCTCAAACAGACAAACGAAGAAAAGAAAACATTCCTATAGGTGGTTAGATTGTTTGTAATTAAGCACAAAGCTACACAATGGGCTATCTGTGCTATGCCCACCACGGGTAATCGAAGCCCGGTTTCTAACGTTGTAAGTCCGCAGCCATACCGCTGTGTCATTGGGGGGCAGATGGCTAGATTACCCTACAGAAGTGATCAGTGTGAGCACGTGCTTAATATTTCAATAAAGAAACTATTTACGAAAGTGCGAGCACGTTTTATATTTCAGTAGAAAAAACTATTTATGATAGTTCCTGCTTGTTAAATAGTATAAAAACTAGAGCACAAAATGTATTTTAAGAAGTGGAGTTTTCAGCTACAAGTCCAAAAGCTGTTAGCAGTCTCCGTGCTTTTCCTGAAGATATTCAGATTTTCCGTATTTTTCTGTGAATTGAATATATAAATGTGTTATTCAGTTTAGTTTAGTATGTCTTATAGAAATTATAATCCTTTTTATTTTTTGTTTATTGTGCATTGCATACTTAGGAAGGATACAAACATAATATTCTTTTACCACACTAAAACTAGTTACATAGAGAGTATTTTTCTTTTATTAATGTATCATTTCCAACGTTGCGTGTAATATAAAAACATATATTAACCTTTACACTAAGACGCCTATTTTGTCATACCCTGAGGGCAAAATATCATCAGTGAATTGAAAAAATTACAGAAAAGTTACTTAAACATGTGTTTCACATTTTTTTAAATAATACTACAATACTAATATTCTTTCTTCTAAATTGTTCAATTTAATGAAGTTTAAAGAAAAAATTTAAAATTCTGAATTATCTTTCAGACTAAAAAAGCGTCCTCTAAGACTAGAATTTTATCTCTATCGGGATTCGGTCTGCGTTTCGGACCAGGGATGGATAGGTTCAGCGTTAACCACTAAGGCTAAAACATTTTCCTTCAAGGATTTTTTTTTAAATTGTCTTTGCACTTTACAGTTTACTCTGACATCTGTGACCTAACCACCTGGCCATGCCAGGTCTCGCTCTCCAAAGTGATATAAACT